TCCCCCCCCACCCCCTCCCCCCCCCCCTCACTTCCCACGTGCAGGCCTGCGGAACAGTAAAGGGACAAGTCATCAAATGCCCCCGTGTGCACCCCTACAGCAGAGGTGGTTAGAAAGGTGAGGTTGCTGTACTGGCCCCAGGATTTAAATGACTGGTTTGGGCTGGGTTTCTTTTTAAGCACCATCTTCAAAGGCCTTTAAAGAAGGGAGACTTCCCTTTGAGACTGCTCCCTAAGATGTCACTGCTAAGGCTTGTAGCGCAATTTTCACTCAGTGCTTTAAGGCATTCGCTGTGAACACCACTTGTGCAAAAGGAAGGGGTGGTGCGCATGTGTGCGCGTGCGCGCAGGTGCCCCATTGTCTTCACCTTCCTCTGTCTCCCTCCATCTTGGTTCATTGTCGCATCTTTGTCTTGCAGAAGACAGACATCACTGAAGGCTCCTTGGCAGCCATTGCCTGCAGCAGGGTCAAGCGCGTGTGGCTTGTTGGGAGGAGGGGGCCCCTCCAGGTAGCTTTCACCATAAAGGTAAAACTGGTTGGCTTGATCTTAAGGATGTTGTATCGTGACAAGTTTTCTGTGCCCCTCTTGCTATGGGTCTAGTTAGCGCGACGTGAGCTGTTGAAGCCGTTAATTGTGGCTCTAAGGGTCTGCCAGAAGGCATGGAAATGCAGGTGTCTCGGCTACTGTGCCCACCTGCTGAATGCCGCCTCCTGCCTGTAGGCATTGCCAGCTTGTGTGGTGAGGGTGGCTTCTCTTTTGGCTCTGCATTGTTCTTACAGCTTCTCTGTCTCCTCCGTACATGGGACAGCAAGGTATCACCTCTTCCTGTCTGACATTCCCAGGAGTTGCGGGAGATGATAAACCTGCCTGGAACCAGACCTCTCCTGGACTCTGCCGACTTCACAGGCCTGGGCGATGCTATTAAAGGTGAGGGAAGTGCTCAGTTGGAAATTGAGATTCCCGTGGCGGGGCGAATTCCCAAGGGTCCTGTCTGAGGGAGCTCTGAGCGGCGAAGGACGAGGTGATGGGGCCTTACCTTGTTTTTCAGTCTGGTGGCTAAACTAAAACAAAGCCAGTGGGCAAATGACTCTGCCCTCATTGCCCTTGTCTCTTGGAATCTAGTCTCTAATTCCTGCCTTCTCAGGGTTGTAATGAGACAGCTCATTCCTTCTTCCCCTTGGCCTTCATTTGCTTGCTTGGCCGTAAGGCTCCAGAAGAAGCCCTTGCAATTCACTGATTGACTAACACATGAGTTCCACCTGGCTAAGCCACTGCTGACAGAGCAGGTAGCCCTGGTGGCAAGCCTGTAAGGATGGCTAGCAGCAGGAGAGCTGCAGCCCCGCTGGTGCCTGGAAGAAATGGACATGCTGCCAGTAAGGGCTGGATGTCCCAACCTAGCTTGCCTTCTCTGGCTTGTAACAGCATTACGTGGCTGGGTGGGGGGCTGGGATTGGGGAGAGCTCATCCAGGGCAGGATCAGTGACTTCAGTGAAGGCGAGTCCAGGTCTGAAAGCCGATGTTCCCAGCTCAATTGGAAAGAGTTTGGTTCTAAGGTGCCCTTGGACTTTCTACTCACATTGAGTTCAGAGACTGGAACAGCTTTGTCAAAAGCCACAAAATCCCATTTGTGCAGCTGTGCCAGGCACAGCTATCTGCCGTATGCATGCTTAGAGGCTTGCAAGGCTTGACTTCCTGTAACTCCTTAGCATTAACTGGATGCTGGTCCTTACTCTCCTTGTGTGGTCCCCCTCTGGAGACTGCCAGACCTTTGTTCAGGGCTCCCTGTGCTCTTGCAGTGCTCTTTTAATTCTAGATGTTCCCAGACCCAGGAAGCGTCTGACCGAGCTGATGGTCAAGTCGGCTCTGGAGACACCTGGTGAGAGAGAGGCTGGTCGCTGGGCATCCGCAACCAAAGAGTGGGGCTTGAAGTTCCGACGCAGCCCGCTGGAGGTCCTGCCTGCTGCTGACGGGAAGCAAGCAAGAGGCGTACGACTGGCCGTCACCAGACTGGAAGTATGGACTCAGAGTTCTCTTTGTAGCGGATTTGCTTTCCCCATGCTAGGCTCTCTGTGTTGCTGAGAGATGAGTAAAAGTCTGTTGCATCCACTTGGATCTGGAGATCTCTGGGGAGCCCTTCTGCGTTAATCTAAAGACAGCTTGATACTCCTGGTCTAATTAGAAGCAGCAGAACTGCCTGCTGTCTGAGCAGCTGGACTGGCAGATTCTTGGGAAGCCAGCACCGGGTCTCCCCCAGGAGCTGTTTCTGATACAAAGGCAGCACTTTCTTTCCCTTGGCATTGATCGCTGCAACTGGCGAATGCTCCCACGAGCCAGCCTCCTAAATATCCAATAATGGAATTGCCAGTGAATCCGGGCGGTAGAATGGAGATGTTGCTGCTTCTCTTGGGGTGATAAGACTTGACTGCATTTGCAGTGCAGGCTCTTTAACTATTTGCTTTCTTCCCATCACTCCCTGTGTCATGTAGGGTTCGGGCGAGTCTGCCAGAGCTGTCCCCACCAGAGAAATGGAGGAGCTTGAATGTGGATTGGTCCTCAGCAGCATTGGCTACCAGAGCCTCCCGCTTGACCCTTCCGTACCATTTGACCCCAAACTGGGGATCATCCCCAACAGCCTGGGCAGGGTCCAGGGGGTACCAGGTCAGTGTGAATGCTCAGGGTGCCATGTTTGGGTAACACCGCTTGTGTGTGGGGGACAGGCTTTTAGGAAGGTTGAAGAGGAAGTGGCCTGGAGGTTTGTGTGGAAAGGAGTGAATGGGAGAGTCTGGGCTTGTGTAAAATCGGGATCAGGAAATCAGTGTTCCATCCCTATCCAGTTCCTAGGCATTCTTTGTGACTCCTCTTGGGCAAGCCATTTATCTGTGCCTCAGTTTCCCCATCCATACAAGTGCTGTAATACTGCCTGTTTTAAAGGCGCAGTGAGGCATCATTCACCAACGTCTGGAGAATGTTTTAACATCCTTTGGCAGAAGTTGCTATCGAGGTATCAGGTAGCGTAGCAGCTGGACCATTTTGTGTCCTTGTTATTAAAAAAGTTAGTTTTAAAGATTTGTCCCACATTTTGGAACATTAACAGCTCAGGCACACAAATCAGACGACACAAACTAGCAGGTAATTATTAGTTTATTCAGGAGAAATGGAAGCCTGCGTTCATGAGGCACTGTAAACTCCTGTAGCAGCTCTGCACTGGAAAGGACAGTGCAATTAAGACAATGCGTACTCTGCTGTGGGGAGAGTAGATACTACCCTATTACGCATCACAGATCAGATGCTCCAGTGGGCCTGGTAGTGATCCATGTGATGTATCCTAGTGAAAACTCTTGTTAAATGTGGTTAACTGCATCTGAGACAGCCTGGGCATGAAACGTCAGTGGGTCAGGACATGTAGATCTGTAGTTAATGCCCCCACAGGGACTCAAGCATTTGCTGGACCCTGTCCATACACGTGCACTGGGGATTGCGTAAGAGCATGTCAGTATTTGTCTAACATGCTGTCCTAGGTCTGTACTGCAGCGGCTGGGTGAAGAGAGGCCCCACCGGCGTGATTATCACCACCATGAGTGATAGCTTTGACACAGCCCAGTCCGTGCTAGAAGATCTCCAGTCGGGGGTGCTCAACCTTTCAGACACCAAGGAAGGCTTCAAGTCCTTGAGAAGCGTTCTCCACAGTCGAGGTTGGTGAATGTGCATCCATGAGTCCTTGTGTGAGAGCACCTGTAGCAATGAACAGAGGTGTGGTGTCAACCAACCTCCTTCTAGCAAACTCATGCAGAAGTTCTAGGCTGAGACGTTGGGTTAATGAATGGTCTCCTGAAATCTGGAGCCTGGGTTCTAATTTGACAAGGAAAAGGGTTTGATTTTTGTCTGTCTGTAGCAGACATTCCTCTTGCCCTCATTTCCTGGTGGGTGGTGGGAGAGGAGGAGAAAACGAATGTCACACATGCTGTTCTGTCAGTCTCTGTACAGACAAGGGCAGGCTCATGGTGCTGAGAGTGAGGATTGAATTGCACAGGCAAGGCTGAGTGGGCAAAACTTGCACAGTGCACTCTCTGCTGTTCCTGGTGCGTTCACTTGTGTGGACGCTACCCGAGCTAAATTCCACCCATCTTTCTAACATTTGATTTTGGAAAGCCTAGGTTACACTTTGGCTGTGTCTAGACTACATGGCTCCATCGACGGAGCCATGTAGATGAGGGTTGTAGGCAAAGGGAAATGAAGCGGCGATTTAAATAATCGCTGCTTCATTTAAATTTACATGGCTGCTGCGCTGAGCCGACAAACAGCTGATCAGCTGTTTGTTGCCCATCTTTCTAACATTTGATTTTGGAAAGCCTAGGTTACACTTTGGCTGTGTCTAGACTACATGGCTCCATCGACGGAGCCATGTAGATGAGGGTTGTAGGCAAAGGGAAATGAAGCGGCGATTTAAATAATCGCTGCTTCATTTAAATTTACATGGCTGCTGCGCTGAGCCGACAAACAGCTGATCAGCTGTTTGTTGGCTCAGTGCGCTAGTCTGGACGCTCCCCTGCCAACATCAAAGCCCTTTGTCGGCAGCCCTGGGAAACCTCCTCCCACGAGGAATAAACTGATCCGCCGTTTGTTCG